CTGGAGAATATATTTCTGTAAGATTAGAAAGCTGAGATAAATGGAAAGTATAAAGTGATGAAAGAGTGACCAATCAAACTTAAAACTAGTCAATTTATAGAAACAGGCCAGGCTTCACTGAGGTGAAATAGTTTTGAGAGGATGAGGTATGTGAGTTCACAGAGTCACAGAATTTTTGCACTGGAAAGGAACTTCAAGGCCACCTAGTTTGACCTGTTGCTGACCAAGAATCCCCTCTGTTATATCTCAGACTAGTGGCCCTTGACTTCAACTGAAGATGAGCAGGGAAGGAGAATCTACTTCCTGAGGCAGATCATAGCTCTTTGGGACACTTCTTACTTCAAGCCTACATATGATTCTTTGCAACCTTCTCTTTCTGGCCTTAGTAAAAGGCACACGAAGCCAAGCATATCTCCTCCTGCTATAGCATCTTAGATTATTAAACAAAGAATCAACACAACAGACTAATATAAGTACCTACTGAACAGAGGGAATTGGATTAGATTCTGGAGGAGACACACAATTTTGGTAATGCATAACTTCTATATTATGGAGTTTAGAGATGGCTAGAGAGATAAAATACACACACACACACACACACACACACACACACACACACACAATCCCTGATTCTGTTGTTCTTCTTCGTCCTTCTTTTTCAAAGAAGACCAGTGACATCAAGGGGTGATGTCATGACTTGTGTGTGAATTAGATTTAAGTGAGGCAGTAAACAAAGTCGTCAACCTCATTCTTTCTTCTAGAATCATTGAAGTCCAGAGGCAAAACAAAAGTCAAGACCACTGGTGATGGCCAGGACACAGTAGATGACCTTGGAGTCACTGATGTCTGATCAAGCTCTAAGTGTTCCACATTGCCTGCTTCAGCCACCTTCAAGGACATTGGGACAAATTGTTCTCATCTGCCCATTTTGCCAGGAGAGGTCTTCATGTGCTTGGGGTAGACATCCCTCCTAACTCACCAATGGGTTTCTGGCCTGTTAATTACCCTCAACCTGGTTTAGCCCATCTGCCTAGATGTCTTTACTGGGTATGCCACAGCATCTTGGAGCCTCAGCAGAGAGTAGACAGGTAGACATCAAAGGTGGATGAGCAGACCTGAAAATGGCACGCAAGTTTTCACACCAAAGGAGCTAGTGCTCCCTGAATGTCCCATATACCCCTCTGATTCTGCCTCCACAAAATGTGCTACATCAGAGCCCTTCTCTGTACTCATAGTTATCTCATGAGTCTGAGTTCTCATTATTGGCCGAAATTATTGTAGCAGCCTCCTCATGGATCTTCATGCCTCAAGGCTCTTTACCAATCCGGTCCATCTTCACTGCTGCCAAAATAATTTTCCTTAGGCACACAACTCACTCCACCACTCAATCTACTCCAATAACTTCCTATTGCTTCTGGAATCAAGTATGAACTCTATTATTGAGGTTTTAAAGCCCTACACAACATTACCCCAGTTTATTTTTTTTCCAGAATCAATCGGCATAACTCCTTCTTCACATAGTCTTCAGGTTATCTGAACTGATCTTCTCTCTGTTTTTCAAAAGTTACATTCCATCACCAGTCTTTGTATCTTTACATTGGTCATCTCAGGGCAACTAGGTGACATGGTGGAGAGAGTGGTGGGCCTGGAATCAGGAAGACCTGAGTTCAAATCCAGCCTCAGACAATTACTAGTTGTGTGACCCTGGGTAAGTCACTTAACTGTTTGCCTCAATTTCCTCATCTGTAAAATGAGCTGGAAGAGGAAATGTTAAACCACTCCGGTAACTTTGCCACGAAAACCCCAAAAAGGGTCACAAAGAGTTGGACATGATTAAAAATCAACTAAACAGTAACTAAAGATAAGAAAAGAAGTTAAGTTCCTCGAGGGCAAGGAATGTTTCTTCCTTTTTCTTTGCACTTCCAGTGCTTAGCACAGGGTTTGGCACACAGTAAGTGATTAATAAATGCTTGTTGACTGAATGATAACCTTGAAAGTGAATGGAATGGATTAACTCATAAAAAGGTGAGAGGTGGCAGAAGAATTAGAAAATCAAATCTACCAATATGTTATTTATAAGAAAGAATTGAAACCTAAAGATTCACACAGAGGTAAAAAGAAACACTAGAATGGAATTTATTGTGCCACCAGGGAATAAAAAATAAAAAGCAGAGGTTATGATCATGATGTCAAACAAGGCAGTAGTAAAAATAGACACAGTCAGAAAAGATAAGCAGTAAACCTACATTATGCTTATAGGTGCCATGGATGCCCCCAAGGCAATAAGGTGGTGCAGTGGCTATGAGTCCTGTATAATATTCCTCCAAGTCTTCCATTAGATCCACCATGGAGGCCTACCTAAAGATCTTCTTCTCAGTGTTTTTAGATTTAGTTGGTATATCTATAGCCCTCAAATTATCCTCTTGTTGTTATCACATCTTGCCACATGGTACCAAGATACTAAGCCATTTCCTAGGAATGCAGATTGCTATGTTTCTCCTCTGTCCCCAAACCCCATTGAAACGGAGGTTCAACCTATTCAGCAAACATAAATAGATAGGCAAAGCTTTTGTGCGAGATGCTCAAGATCTTGAGATTTACATTCTTTGAGAAATAACTGATCATTAAATAATTTCTGTCCTTAATATATGTACATATTGTAAAATTTCATCCATTTTGATATATATCTTTAAAAAATACTTTCAAGTAGTTTTGACACAGAACTGAAAATCAACTGACTGGTTTCTCTGGAAAGTCTGAGAAAGTGCTTTACTCTCCATCATAATTCATATTTTAATGTTTGCAAATGGAAAATAATGATTGGAGTAAATGGAAGGTGTGTCCAGGAAATAAAATGTGTTCTCTTCTAATTCTGCTGAGAACATATGAGTATGTGTGAATTTTCCCATAAATCATAGCTTTAAAGTGATTCAGACTGATGGATTCATATCAGATTGATGAACTGTATATAGGTAATAGGATAAGTTATAAAAACATCAGACCCATAAAAATTAATAGCCTGAAAAATGACTCTGTCCTTCCTCCATTTATCAGTAATATAAAGAGTATGCATATCTTGGCAGTGAGCATCAGTACTCAGCAATGGAGGCCAAGGAGTTACATTTATAGTTTGATTTTATACTACTTGAAATTACCTAATGTCTTTCATGCCCAGCCTGATTTCTTCTGGGCTTCAAGCCCATGCTAATTTATAGCATTTTCTAATTTATCAATTAGAATCAACCTCAATGGAATCCAACAAATATTCATAGAACTCTCACTAAGAATTCAGCCCTGCATTAAGTTACGCTCATTCATACTAGTCATGCTTAGAGAGACATCTTTAAAGCGTCCATTTCTCTAGGGTTCTTTCCAGTTCTATGATTCATTCCATGATTTAGTTTTCCGTATAGTTGGTCTGCCCTCTCTTTGTCTCTTTCTTTTTCTTTGTGTCTCTTTGTGCTTTGCACAGTGCCTAGCACATGTTGTTTAGTTGTGTCCAACTCTTCATGACCCCATTTTATCTTTTCTTGGCAAAAATACTGGACCGGTTTGCCTTTCCTTCTGCAGCTCGTTTTACATATGAAGAAACCTAGGCAAACAGGTTTAAGTGACTTGCCCAGGTTCACATAGTAAGTGTCTGAAGTCAAATTTGAACTTGGGAAAATGTCTTCCTGATTCCAGGCCCAAGGCTCTGTACACTATGGCACCACCTAGCTGCTAGCATATGTTAGGTGCTTAATATACTCTTACTAACTCTCTCTGCCTGTCTCTGTCTCTGTCTCTCTCATCTAGAAAACAAGCCAGAAACCATAATGTTTTTCTTGTGCTGTTGTTTTTCCACCTTGGATCTTGTTAGGTCAGATTCCATTTAATTTCACAAATATTTATTAAGTTCTTCCTATGTGCCATGTACAGTGTTAAGTTTTGGGAATACGAAAAAGGCAAAAGCAAAAAGCTCTGCCCTTCAGGAGCTTACTATCTAATGGGTAAAACAGAATGTAAACAAAAGTACAAAGCAAGCTCTATACAAGACAAGTAGGACATAATTAACAGAGGGAAGGCACTGGAATTAGGAGGGTTTAGGAAAGGCTTTCTATAAGAGGTAGGACTTAGTTGAGACTTAAAAGAAGCCTGGGAGATCAGTAGTGGGAGTGGAGGGAGGAGAGGGATGCAGGAATGAGAGACAGCCAGAGAGAATGCCTGTAACCAAGAGATGAGAGTCTTGTTGGTGGGAGAGAAAGAAGGCTAATGTCCCTGGATGGAAGAAGACCTGTAAAAGTGATATCAGTGTGTGTTATGAAAGATCTGTTCTTATCTGCCTCTGGGAAATAAAATGGAAAATAAGAGCCCCGCAAATTGTGGAAATAATGAAAACAATGTTAGTTGCTTTGAGTCTTGGCATATTATAATATTTCTATTTAATTGTTAGACACTACAATAAAAAATGCATTTGTGTAAGAATGGCTCAATTATTTTTTTAAATGTATGAATCTGCATTTCCTAATTGTAATTTCTTTCCCATTGTCTCTTGCCAGATACCTGCACATCCTTTAAAGAAGAGCATAAAAGTTTCCTGTCTAGCAGGCTTTGTTCCTAGAGTGTAATGACCTTACCCTTTCTGCATATATCTAATGTATTTTTGTAACTTTGAGCATTGTGTACATTTTATCATATTGCTAGATTGTGAATTCCATGAATGCAACAACTGTATCTTATTTCAATCTTATATACTCTTCAAACCTTTCCCCTTCCCTATACTGAGAATAGTGTGCTTTGTATACAGTTAGTCCTTAATAAATGTTAGATAAATGAATAAAATGCCTTAATACCAATTATGGTCTTATTTAAAAATGTAGTTGTTTAATTTTTAGATGTAAATCTGACCTCCTTTAAAAGTTTTTATTTCTCGGCAGGAGAAACATGGCAAATCCAGTCTTTTACAATCTGCATCTTAAATTAAGGCAGAAGATACAACTGTGATTTTTTTTTTCTTGCAGCGATTGTCCAACGGCTCCATAGATTCAACAGATGATACCAGCCAAGTGATGGAGCTACAAGAATTACTTGAAAAGCAAAACTATGAAATGGTCCAAATGAAAGAGCGTTTAGCAGCCCTTTCCTCTCGGGTGGGAGAAGTGGAGCAGGAAGCAGAGACTGCCAGAAAGGACCTCATTAAAACAGAGGAAATGAATACCAAATATCAAAGAGACATTAGAGAGGTAAGCAGTTCCTAATGAATATTATTACCATCACATCATTCCTCACATTCTTTCTCCAAAGATTATCATTTGGTATGAATTATACCAGTCACAGATGCAACTTTACCTGGAAGATAAAGATTTAGGCTTGCAATTAGGAAGACCTGAGTTCAAATCTAGCCCTTGCAATTTACTGTGTGACCCTAGGTAAGTCATGGCTACCTCTGTGGCTTCCCCCTCCTACTCTTCAAGGTCCTATATCCCTCATAGTTTCTCCTTTCTCCCTTCAGTCAAAATTTTCTCTCAGAAAAGAATTCAGAGAAAGGAGTATATACTAGTCATGTTAAACATACCAGCCAATGGCCCCAAGTAGACCACAAAACTCCCTTGTGCTGCCAGAACCAGATTATAAAGTAATCAAGAAATGATTAACAATATAAATAAAAATACAATAAAATATATGTAATGTTAATTTGTGTTTCCCTTAGTCACTATGCACCCACAAGGATCCATTTTTATTTGCGTTTAATAACACTGGTATATATTACCTTGTGAATTTCAGTCATTGTATTCTTGTTCCCAAGGTCACAGATATTTGCATTTTATGTGGCATTTCTAAATATGGAATGAAAGTATGTCTGTATCATCTGTTAAAGACGTCTTTAGTGTGGGAGAGAAGGCATATAAAATATTTAGGGGAGCAGGGAAGCTTTCCATTTGCTCTCAACCCCACTTTTTTCCAAGAGCTGTTATATTTGTCTTTGAACATCAATAATAATAATAGTAATAACAACAATGATAATAATAGTAAGTCAATTCTGTTGTGGTAGGTAGAGATCTGGCCTCCAAATTTGAGAAACATGGGTTCAAGTCTTCCCTCTGACTCAAAGTGGCTGAGGGACCCTGCCAATTCACTTCATCACTCTGAGAAAGTAAGTTGCAGATGCTCTCAATCAGTAGAGAAAGTAAGATCTGCAAATGGGTGAAATCATAGATTCTTTCTAAAATAAATAAACCACAGAATCAGATGGTAATAATAATAATAAAATAGTTTTCTTCAACTAAAAGTATCTACCTATGTAATAATCTATGGAACAGTAAATATAAAATAGTGAAGAACAGGATAGTAACTTGGCTTGGGATGGTTTCTATCTGAACCCCACTGAAAGAGATGAGAATGAGATAATATAAATACTGATAATAATGGTAATATTGATATCATCCCTGTTGTCATCTGCTACTGAGAATGTACCCAGAATGATTTCTGTGAGTTCACAGAAAATGAACTTTCATCCTATTTTTATTAAGCTACCAAAAAAAAAAAAACCTGCTTTTTTTATCCACCTTTGGGAAGTACATCCAGTGCAAAAAATAGCAGGAGAGTGACCCAGGAACATTTCTTTCTGAACCCCATAAAATTGAGAATGAGATGAAGATGAGGATGATGACAGTTACATAATGCCTGCCAGTTTATAATATGCTTAACACACATCCTCTCGTTTGAGCGTCTCACAGGCCTCTAATGATATTTTTATCATCCCCATTTTAAGGATGAGTACAGAGTCTCAGAGAGGTTAAATGACTTGTCTTTGTTCACACAGCTAGAGAGGAGCAAAGGTGAAATCAAAATGTTCTTACTGACTCTATCCAGTCCTCTGCATGACTGTCTTTTCTTTTGAAATTTATTTCTGAGCTTCTGTGAATTTTTTTCAGCACAGATATCTTTCTTGCATATCTAATCACCATAGTCAGCAAACTTCAATATGCATCTCCAGATAATCTAAATTATAATTGCATATGCAGGCACAGCTGCCTGCTGTCACTCGTATAGGATTGACTCATTCCTATTTTCAAGTCTCTATACCTAAAATCACCTCCTTTTCCCTCCCTAACAAAATGTGTTCCTTCCTTTTTTAGTAAAATCTTAATAAAAATTCTCCTGTTCTATAAAGTCTTTAGAGCTTAACTCCATCTGTCTCCTTTCACTCAATTTATAGCTAATCCTTGTGCTTTTCATAGATGTTGGTCACTAACCTAACAGGCTTTTAGAGCAGGGAGATCCTAGGAAAAATTCTTTTTTTTTTTTTAAATTTCTGCTTACAAAATTGCAACACATCATGGACCATCATTACATTTTTAATTGACTGGATAAATAAGTAAACTATGGGGGAAATTACTAGGTGCCTGATAGCACAGGCAAAAGACAGAGGCTAAGAGAAAAAGGAGGCAGTGGGTGGCACACTGGATAGAGCTCCAGGCCTGGAATCACAAAGACCTGAGTTCAGATGCGGCCTCAGACACGTACTAGCTGTGGGACCCTGGGCAAGTCACTTACCCTTGTTTGCCTCAGTTTCCTCATCTGTAAAGTAAGCTGGAGAAGGAAATGACAAATCTATACAATACTTTGCCAAGAAAACCCCAAATGGGGTCACAAGGAGTTGGACACCAACTGAAATGACTGAAAAAAAAAGAGAAAATGGGAGCTTAGTGGGTATGGAAATGCTGCTGAATGTTCATAATCATTGTGCATATAAGGAGGCTTATGACACTTCTCCTTACGTTCATTAAAAAAATCTCAGAGTGACCACCCTGCCCTCCACAGCCTGATGGCCAGGTCTGTTACTTCTCCCCTTTTCCAGAGCTCTTCTGGGGAGGTACGAATGTCCAGGCTCTCTGTCATGGGCTCCAGCCTACACTGAAGGTTTTCCTCCAATTATAGGAGGATCTCCTACACCCTGATTCCATTGATTATTATAGTCTCTCCATCTTTGAAGACCGCAATTCAGTCTAATTTTCCCTCTCTTTCAAAACTTTGTGTCCTCATTCTTTTCATCTCTGTCATATATCTTCAATTTTTTTTGATCAATCAATATTTATTTAAAAAATTGTTCTGTGCTAGGCAGTGGAGAAATAAACATAGAAATTAAACAACCCTCACCCTTCAAGGAATTTACATTGTATCCAAAGAGACAATATATAATTTTATATTATGTATATGTGTGTATGTGCTTTTTCAGCTGTTCTGTCACTTTTCAATAATATCCAACTCTTTGTGGCCCCATTTGGGGTTTTCTTCAAAAATACTAGAGTGGTTTGCCGATTCTGAGGCCAACAGGATTAGGCCAACTTGTCTTGGGTTATAGGCTATAAATATCTGAGGCTGGATTTGAACTCATGAACATGAGTCTTCTTGATTCCATACATCTGCATATATACACTTATGCATTTGTAAGTGTGTACAAAATGAAAAGCACATAAATATATGGTAAATTATGGGGAGTGATGGAAGATGGTACTAACTAGAGAGTTCAGGAAAGATTTAATGAATCCCAGTGCATGCTTGGTACATGGCAGGTGTTTATTAAAGGCTTGTTTAGTCATTGATTGATCTAGAAAGTGGCCTTTTGTTGAGCTTCGGAAGAAACCAGGAATCCTTGCTTCCCTGTCAATATGGTCTGGTTTCTTCTATTAAAAAGCATAAGGAAATCTCTTAGCTGTACTATTCTTTCAAGCTATCATTCTATATCTCACTTTATGTTAGAGTAAGAACTCTACACCCCTCACCTTAGTTTCCTCAGCATCACCCATAATCACTATCCCCTGCAACCTGGCTTCCACTCTGCTCAAACTCTCTGCCATGTTACCAATGACTGGCATTTTTTTGGGGGGGGGGTTAAGTGGCTTGCCCAGGGTCATACAACTAGTAAGTATCTGAAGCTGGATTTGAACTCAGGTCCCCCTGACTCGAGGACCAGTGCTCTATCCACTGTACCACCTAGCTGCCCTTTATGACTGGTATCTTAATGGTCAAATCCGGTGCTCTTGTCCACATCCTACTTGACCTCTGCAACCTTTGTTTGACATTGTTGATGGTCCCTCTCTTTCTTCATGTTGTCTTCCGACATGGCTTCCATGACATTGACTTACACGGTTCTCTTCATAGTTATTCTAATTACTTCTACCTTGCCTCCATCAGTCGATTCTTTTCCTTCTTGCCATTCTCCATTCCACATTCCCAAGGAGCCTTTCTGTAAGTTTTTATCAATGGGGCTTTTTATTGTCTTAGTCTTAGCAATTTTAGACTTCTAGTGGTTTCAACCATCACATCTATGCTAAGAACTTCCAAATCTGTATCGCAAACCTAATTTGTTGAACTCTGGACTGATATTTTCATTCATGCACAGAACACCTCTACTTAGATGGCCTTCCAGCCCTTGAAACTGAACATGGGCAAAAGTCAAGGTATCTTCCCCCCTCCCCCAATGCGATTCCCAATGGCTCTTGTATCTGCCCTCCTTTCTCCATTCCTATTTCTGCTTCTCTAATTTAGACACTCATTAGTCTCCATGTGGAGAATTGCACAATTAACTTCCCACCTAGTCCCTCTTCATTTAGGTTAACTCCAATATGTATTTATTACACAAAACTGCTAAATTATTCATCCTAATCAACAGAAGTGGTCACACGACTCCAATCAACCAATCTATAAGCATTTATTAAAGCACCTTCTGTGTGCCAGGCACTGTGCTGGGACTAAGAGCTAAAATGACAAAGAAGGAAACCAGGAGCTTAAATTCTGATGGAGGAGCCAAGAATATGCTTAAGTATTTATAGAATAAGTTTCCACATCATCAATATTAGCTAGCTTGAAAGGCAGGATGCTTGTTCTTAGAAGAATTCAAAAGGGATTCACGTCAAAGGTGGCACTTGGGCTATAGCTGTATCTTGAAGAAAAGGTGAAAGTAAAGCTGATAGGCCATCTGTGGCTCCCAACTGCCAATGGAGAATTTTTCAAACACCATAGCTTACTGTTCCGGATTATCTACAGCAGCATTTCTTAAACTGTGGGTCGTGACCGCAAATGGAGTTGTGAAAAATTTGGTTTCTGAACATGCAACAACCAAAAATTAATCAAAATCAAAAATCAAATGCATAATGAATCTGAGGTGACTCTGGCAGCACTTGCTCGTGTCGCATCAGGAAACTTCACTGTAGCCTTGGTTCTGAACACAAAGCATGCG